TTATAGTTTTGTCGGCAGAAGTATACTAGAAGTCATTCATTTCATTGTGTTTTATCATCTCTAGTCAACTCTCTATTCTCTATTAAGTTACTTATCTATCTATTCAATCGAGCGCTCCTTCAATACTGCAATTGATTTTTCACAAACGATCGATCATTTACTCCCAATGTGTATAAATTTATATAAAAGCTATGTTTATACAAACACTCAATGAATCTAGTTATATTTAACAAGATTAAAAACCAATTTATTAAACATTTGCTTCAATATCAAAAACTTGCAATTATCACATTAATTAAAACTATTATTATATTTTTAATTGTTTGTGATTAAAACTATAATTAAATATAATGGAAGTACAACAATTGAAGAATATATTAATTTTAACTCAAATGATACAAATCTGTAAAAGTTATCGTACAGTTAGGCAAACAGAATATAAACAATAATATCAAAAAGTGGTCAATTCTAATCATTTTATAATTATGATATCTTTTTAATAAAAAAAACCATTTTATCGCTTAAGAGTTTTAAAGATTATTTTAATTTGTTATTATTTACAATAGGAATGAATCCATTTGAGTGAATGACTACATAAAGACATTAAAGAAAGCAAATTCTTGATAACTGTATGGAACCGACGTTTGACTTAAGAGGTTAGGAGTGGAGACATCGGTTTAAAACGAGTGCATCTAATTTAACGATCATTTTCTAAACAATCACAAAAACTGTATATATTCTTAAGACTAAACAAACCATTTTAATACCACTTATTCTGTTATTTCTAAAAGTTGTTGAATCAATTTATTTTACATTTTTAAAAATTCATTTGTAAATTCTTGTTTATTATTTAAATTAATCTGTATATGATTTTATACTATTTTCACATTATTATAATTGTTATGTATCTTTTCCATATTATACATAGTATTTATTGGAATTACTGACCAAAATATAATAATAAACTCTAATCAAAAATACTACTGTATATTGAATGCAATAAATAGATGCAAATCATGTGTTCGCGTCTGTAATCAAAGTTTGCTAAACAAAGGGTTATAAAACGGTTCTCTTATTAACAATTCGTGACAAAACGTATGAGAATAGGGTTTTGATATGTTTTCATAGGATTAAGTTTATTGACTGACTTTCAGCTCAAATTACACTTACTATAGGGTTTTGTATGTGTTTTACTGGAATAACACCACTTTCTATGGGTTCAGCATTTCTCGTCGACCTTTCCATTTGTATCCAATATTTAATTAATGTCTAATGAATAGTAATGAATGTATGCATAAATGAATGAAATTACTGTGTAAACTAGGGATGGGATAATACATGGAAAAAAGTTTGCATTGTACAATACAAAATTGTATTATTCATGTATTATTACATACAATGCTTAAGAACTAGTAGCTAATGTTAATGGTCACTGCGGAACCTAAGGTCGGACGTGATATGGACTATATTTATATCATCCGACTTTTTATTTAATCTAGTTTTATTTTATAAACAAATCATATTTAATTTGTAAATATTTTTTAAGCGCGCCTCACCGGTACGGACGCCATCACAAAATATTTGCCGATCTTCCTTTATAATTAAAGTATTATTTTTATATTAAAATTTCTTAATTAAACAAGGTTCTGGGGGGAGAGGGGGGGCCGAACGATCCTATAAACCACATTCTTCATATATGAATTGTGGTTAAAATCTTAAAACTTGAATGCAATATAAGTTTACAATTACACTATCATATCATATAACTTAAAATGAAGTCAACATTTAATTTAATTGCAAAATTTAATTAATTTCAATTAATTACACAATATTCAACAAATTTCAATTCAATTCTTTAAATATGTCAATACTGTATAACAATTATTAAAAAATAAAACAATTGTAAAGAGTAGCCAATAAACAGATATTAACCGTTGCAACGGTGGTCATCGCTTTTAAAGGGATGCGTGGAATTGTGTCGAATGACAGTTGCAAAACAGCTCGATGTTCTCTATCATAACAGGCATTGAAAAGACCCTTTAAATTGGCGTATATTGTGTGCAAACATGGAATCTTCAGTAAACAATACATACTCGGCATCCGTTGTCTGTCCATGAGATGACGCCGGCAATGGGCTGGTCAGGTGCCGGACATTCAACTGGATTGTGGATATGAGCTGTTAGTTTATACGTTTTTCCATCCTTTGACACTTCACTGTCCGTTATCTCAATTTCAGTTTCTTTTCGTTTATGGATTCCGAACGTGAAGAGCGCCGCTTCACTCACACCCCTGTCATTGGCATCGATGGCAACAAAATTTTCATATTCAGGCAAATCTGACACTTTTAATTCTAAACTCAAATTAATCAAACAATACATTAATCTACTGTTTTATAGTTGAAGTACAGTACTGTATATTGCCGTATGTCTAACGTAACTAAAAATCACATTTTGCTCAATAATATTAATTATTAGTATTTCGTTATTGTATAAATTTTATTTTAATTAAAAAATTTTAATTAATTAAAAATATTCTTAAAACTTGAAACAATATGGGTTGACCAGTACACCATCATATCATATAACTAGGTACATCATTAGATGAGTAATATAGTATTAGGCTTATAGAAGTTATTAATTAGTCAAAGACTGACAAAAATCATCTCAATTAAGTTCAAACTTATAAAATAGTTGTGATAATCATTATTGTAACTGATGTCGAGTGAAACTATTGTGTTAAACTTGAAACAACTCACACACACAGCAATACTATACGTTAAACACAATTCGGGTGATGCTTAAAGAATAAATTAAAATTTCCCGGAATTTCCCATAGGGTGAAGGAGAGGAAGGGTAGCGTCGAAATCCTATAAACTACATTCTTCATACTGAATTGTGGTTAAAAATAAAACAATTACGGCATAAAGAGTACCCAATAAACAGATATTAACATTATGTCTAACTTTGGCAAAATTGGAAATTCCGCTTAAAGGGATGCGTTGAGTTGTGTCGATCCACATGTGAGTCACAAATCTTTGTCGACTATCATAGCAGACATTGAAAAGATATTTTAAATTCAAGTATATTGTGTGCAAAAATGAAATCAAACAAAGTAATACATACTCTGCATCCGTACTCTGTCCGCAAATGTGTATTGCTGTAGTTCGCCGGACATTCACTGTATTTGTGTACATAGACCTGTAGTTTATACTTGTGTCCATCCGATGACATTTTGCTTTTCCTAATTACAATTTCCCTTTCCGTCTGGTTATTGGGTCCAAAGGCGAAGAGAGCCGCTTCTCTCACACCCCTGTCATTGGCATCGATGGCAACAAAAGATGGTTTTGGAGTCACATTTTGGCCGTAAATACAGGCGATTCCCATCAACACTAGTGCTACACATCTAAACATTTTCATATCTCTCATCACAACTCAATCTCTTATGAAACAAATATACGTTTGTCTCGAAATAAATATGTAAAACCTCTACAGAATGTAATTTCTTTCGACAAAACTATCAAATTGTCTGAAATGTGAGCGAAAAGACCTTCAATTGATACACAGTCTACACCCCATATAACACAATCACTGAGAGTTCAATACAATTCTGTTATATCAGGTTTTATAGTATTCCTATTATTGCTTTTACATAGGCCTAAATGTACTTTAGAATTGTACTTGGTAGTTATTTCGTTAAAATTAATATATAAATTAGTGACTGAATTGTTTGTCTGTGAAAAAATTAAATGCAATTTTATTTCTAAACTTAAATTGACCGAAGAATACATTAAAATTTTATTCAAATACTGTTTTATAGCCTAGCTTGTGATCTCAACGGTTTTTCTAGGAAAAATGCACTCAAAAAAATTTTTTGCAATTAAACAAAAAACAAATTAAAAACAACATATTTTAATATTTGAACAAATTT